CAACAACACACACACACACACACACACACACACACACAAAACAACAACAACAACAACAAAAAACAACAGCCGTTCTATGTCGCCGCTAAAAAAAAAGGGTACAACTTCAATAAATTTACCAAACTTTCTGCTCATCAGTACTTTCACAGGTTATTTATTGCTGGCGAATGAAGTCTTTGGCATTTTTTGAAAAGTATATACAAGCTTCTTCCCCGCTTTCCCCAGTGTACATTTTATACGAAATGGTGAAAACTGAACGACCTCCCTGTGCTAGCGTAGGTCAGTATCACTTTAAGCTTAGTGATTTTTGTTTTTTCAACTTGTTATTTAAGCTAAAAGTAAAGATCGATATTAGCTATGGCTTTTGTTTTTTCACTCGCACTATTAGTAAAATAAATGTATTTTTTCCTTTTTTAGATGACGGACAAAGCACGGCAAGCGTTGAGTCATGGATTTATTCGAACTTATCCAAATAGTTCTCTCTGTTCCATTTCTCTCAAGCCGACCCGATATCTTATCGCAGGTAAGTACTGCCATCTATAGGTGTTTGAGTGAACTAATCCGTTTTATTTATAACTTACAGTATAGAAATATAATCCTGAATAAGATCAGAAATTTCATGGTAAATTTGGAAACATGTTTAACATTAGAACGATTTGCATCTTATGTAACACGCTATGTGTGTATTAATAAGTAAATTTATTACCTGAAGAAGAGAGGCCAGTGTTCGCAGAAACATGTATGTTCATTATGCTTATAAATCGTTGTTTTCCTATTTATTATTATGTTAACATAATGTGCTTCCATACTCAAGTACGCACACACGTAGCAACAGTAGCTGATATACATCCAAACCAGCTTTCCAAAAACCACAATATACTTTTCAACAAACAACAACAGTTCAGAAGGGAGGAAGAGGTCTACTTGGTACCTGACCCTCCCGCATCTGCATGACATAAATCCCGATGAAGACCGAAACGAAGCGAACTGAATGTCAAATTGCCCCTTTAAGATATTTAGCTTTAGAAAAATGCACAAGTTAATGGAGTTATTTAAACAGATTTAAGCATTGTATTGTACCAAACATTCGTGACACTGACCGGTAAATTTTCTTTGATCACATTCTTAAAGCGTGATTCGCCCGAAATATGGTGATTATTATTTTTATGTTTAAGTAGAAATAGAAAAGGCACTACGATCTAGAAGTATCTGACTAGGATTAATTCTGTTCAAGTTTACAACGTCTATATGAAACTACTTTAAATGGCGTAATGATCATTAAATAATCTAACATTCACCATAAATAATTACAGGAGTTTTAAAACCCCTGAAATACAATATTTTAAACTAGATTTACTTCTGCAGGGTCCCAAAAGTGTTCTGTTTCAAAATTAAATAAAACCAAAATTAAAAGTAACAAATATATTTTTTTTTATATCTCGCTTTTGAAGTTAATATATCATGCTGTGTTGTAGTCTACAGAGTGCACAATTCTTCTCGTGATTCATGTCATGCGCACGCTTTGCTAATATCACGACAGTACAAATTGCAACATAAAGCGTCTCTTATGTGACGTCATTTTAGTGTCTACTGACTGACTGACAACACAGTGCTGAAAAGTGGTGCGAGTGGTTAAAACAGGTGACCCTTCAGACAGCCTTCGGCCCTCTTTCGGGAAAATTACAGATAAATAGGTACTGATTTCGACTGATCACATTCGAATGAAATTAATCACTGGCAATAATTTAACTGTTCATATTTCAGTTAAATGAACAGTGAATTATTCTGTCATCTTGTGAACTTGCAAATATAAACTCCTTCTGAAAGTTGTGACTGGCATCGTTTTGATTTATATTTGTTGTTGCACATTCTATGTATATCGTGAATCCTCAGCATTTATTATTGCAGTTCGCTGATCATAGTTTACTTAAATTCTGAAGCAACTATATTTATAGTCTCTCGGTTCTCCTGATTTGAATATCAACTAATTTGTAAACATGAATATGAATTTTACACGTATGCATTTCTGAAGTTTGAACTTACATGACTGAAACAGAAAAGTTATATATAGGAAAGCTATGTAAAAACAAACAACAACATGGTTTTATTTATGTGTCATGCATGTTTTCTCCAATAATGGATTTTACCACACATTATTGAATCTACAGCTGGGATAATCATTTCATTACATTCACATTTTTTCAACAGATAACGCCCGTAAAGTTCTAAATTTTCTCGTTCAAGAAGTCCATCTTTTATATTTAGAAGATGCCAAAATCTAATACGCAACCATAGTCAAAGGCATTTATTTATTGTCTCTAAGTCGGATAAGATGTATGCCACGTAACAGGTATATTTTTGATTGTTACTTTTAAGGCCATAATTTTAAAACTAATGTTGTTGCACGTTACAAAGCTAACCTTCGTTAAACTTACTGTGGTCCTTAGGAAGTTTAATTGGAGAAAAACCATGGACTTCTCTGTGCCATTTTGTCAAAGAGTGGACTACACTAACCAGAAAACAGAAAAAAGGGTTTCGGAAACTGTATCAGCATGGCTGTGGATGTACTATGGTAAGCCTAATTGAATACCTTTCTACATAACAAACTTGTACTATAATTTTCAGTTCTGGCTTGTGGAATATTAAATATGAAATAAGATTGCTCCAAGCTTTTAATTTTATCTAAGGCTGACCTCGTTATCAGTACGTCTGCATAACACACTTATTAGTAATCATATCTAAATGGTTTAGTTACCTCGTGGCAGTCTGTTTAATATAAACATTTCGTTAATTAAGAACAGTTAGTTTCCTGTTGATTTGTTTTGTTTGTTTTTGAAGCTACACAATGAGCTATCTGTGCTCTGCCCACCACGGGTACCGAAACCCGATTTCTAGCGTTGTAAGTCCGCAGACATACCGCTGTACCACTGGAGGGCTTCCTGTTGGTTCCAGTTTGTATAGAGAAAGCTTATAAATTCTGAATGGTGTTTATTGTAAAATCTAGACATTTTTGTTATTCATGTATTACGTAGTTCCGATTCTGTCGTTATTGTATGTAAAAGTCAATATTTCTCTCATATTAACACTGAATCATGCAAGGTAGTGCTAGTAATTAATTTCGTGGTATAAGTATTGCTTAACCTACTTTTTTTTATCTTATTTGCAGGTTAGAACACCTATGCATATGCGAATGATATTGCAAAGACCAATGACAGAAAACGTGAGATACTGCCTTTGGCAGAGAGACTGGGAACGTGACATTGATTGCCAAGCCTTGCACTCTGTCTGTATTCCAGATCACCACGAAAGTAACACTTGCAAATGGCTACCTAACCGAGTTTATAAAGGTTGTGTCAAACAACATCAGAAGTGGCTGGAGAGAAGAAGAGAACGTGAACCTTAAGCGCTGCTAGGCGGCACCACCGTCAGTTATTCTGTCTAAATAACCTAACTGCAATAAAAAACCGTGATTTTTGTGATGTACAAAAAACACTGTAAAAGTTGAAAATTATAGCATTTTATTATAGACTCTCGTAATATAAAAAGATGTAATAATAATAATAATAATTCACGTGACGGTGTACAAAGTCTAATCTAATACTTTTATCAAAATATCTTAGTACAAATTTTCATTCAAAGACCCCCCCCCCCAGAAAAAGAAAAGATCTAGAACTAAACTCACGCCTTTATTTCTATAAGCAAACCACACATAAATACAGCCAATAAGAGCAAGACTTATTAGTTGGATGAATAAACGCGCGAATACAACGCAGTGTAGGATGTCCTATTGCATAATGGTGGGGGAATCATTGTTTAAATAATTGCGTTTTATTTAGACGTTTTAAGGTGCATATGATTCATGTATACTTTGATAGTGTTTTCTATTAGAAAATGTAGTGGCAAGTCGTTGGAAATTCGTTATAGTCGTGAGGTTGAAAAATGTGATTAGCCCGATATAATTTAACCTTTCATCTCTTGCACAAAACTTTAAGGCTTAATAAAAGCAGTAATATATTAATATATCTCCTGCTCAAAATTCGAATTTTGAGATCATAATAGCCACTAGGTGTACTTTAGTGTTTTTCATAGCTCTCTGAACAAATCAATTTATTGCTTGTTTGTAGACCAATGGTGTAATACAAAAAATCAAACAAGAAACTTGGATATATACATATGATTTCTGGATCAAAACCACAGTAATTCTCTGTTAAAAATTATTTTAATTTTTTTTCAGAATAATATATATGAGGGAAATAGGTGACTTTCTAAAAGTCGTGAATCAGCTTAAATAAGTAAAATATGAAGTTTTAACAATGTATTTAAATTTTTCGTGTAGAAAAGTGGCCATACTTAGGACGAGTTTTTGTAATAAAATTTTATTTTTACTGTTTAAATTTTTGCAAAAACTTTCCTTTAGTAATTAATATTTTAATCTCTAATGAGTTGAATTTGAAAAACGAATACTGAACTTTTTTTATGTTGTATATCTTTGGTAATATAATTAAAAGTCACCAAAAGTCAATACGATCATGCTTATTTGTGATGCTAATGTTTAAAAACCTATTTCTACACCTTAACAAAAATCTTGACAGAAATGTTTTATTTCTGAAACTGTTGATTAAATCGCCGAAATTTCGAGCCGTTTTTATCGATATATCAAGCTGTAGAGAGCAGATTTTACTCCAAAAGTTGCTATAACAAAATAATAGATGGTGCAAGAATCGTTTCTCGGGTCGTTAGCTGATCGAATCGATAGCAGAGTGCAGCGAGCTGAGTTTGAGCAGATCAATAAGAAGGATATGTATATAACATTTTCGTGGGGTTTGACAAATTCGTATACTACGTGAATCGAACTTGTAGATCAATATACAACTTTGATCGAGCAAATAATGAACGTGATTAAAAATTGTAAATATAAAAAAAACATACGATTTTACTTTAAAAGAAAGTATACAAGTATTATTCCGACAAAGCATCGTTAACGTTCTTTAATGTTAGACCATTCAACATTAGCACTCATTTTCTTCTTCTGTTTCATTAGGCTTGAATTATTTACAAGACAAATGATAACCTTAAATAAATATAGGTGCAGAGCAGGATAAAGGTTTTCTGATTTTCTTGAAGATAACCATTGTCTCTTTATGTTGTTCATACAGTTCCCGATATTCTACGCATAAGAAAAAAAGTGGTATTACTTGTCAGATTTTCAAACACACTAATATCGGGAACTGTATGAACAACATAATTACACAGAAGAAAAGAAGTGGTATTACTTGTCTTATTTTCAAACACGCTAATATCGGGAACTGTATGAACAACATAACTACGCATAAGAAAAAAAGTGGTATTAATTGTCTGATTTTCAAACACGCTAATGTAGGGAACTGTATGAACAACATAATTACACAGAAGAAAAGAAGTGGTATTACTTGTCTGATTTTCAAACACGCTAATATCGGGAACTGTATGAACAACATAACTACGCATAAGAAAAAAGTGGTATTACTTGTCTGATTTTCAAACACGCTAATATAGGGAACTGTATGAACAACATAACTACGCATAAGAAAAGAAGTGGTATTACTTGTCTGATTTTCAAACACGCTAATATAGGGAACTGTATGAACAACATAACTACGCATAAGAAAAA